GGGATTTTTAAAAAAAGGCGGGGAAAAAAAAAAGGTTTTTTTGGAACCACTAAAAAAAAAAAAAAAAAAAAAAAAACTAAACTACTTGAGTGACGTGTGGGGAATGACCGTGGAGTAATCACAGTAAATCTCCTCATTATTGAAGGTTACGTTAGCATCACTGAGAGACTCTTCATGCTTCTGGAAATGGACCGAAGCGTACAGGAGCCCATCAGAGGGGCTTGTGGGTAACTGTACTGTAGAATACAGCGTGTCGTGTGGATCAGACGAGTCTGTGGGATGCGTGACAGTGGAATATAACACCGTTTCCTCAGTTCCCGGGACTGAGCGCAGTCTGGCATCTCTGATATTCTCATAGTCACATGCTGCATGAGAGGCCTGAAGATTGATTTAGAGAGAAATAAACTAGATTGAATACGAGGGCTGCGTGATTAATTTAAATACAAAGGAAATTGTAATATGGCTTAGTGAGACTACGAAATCGCAAAGGCTGTGGTTTAATCAAATAGATATATATGCTGCATGTAATATGTATATGTGTATTTAATAAAAGTAATAATATCATCATATCAATATTATTATATAGTTATATTGATAATCACAAAGATTTGACCAAATTGTGCAGCCCTACAAACAAGCATGGCAAGCATTGCCCCCCCCCCAAGTACTCAGGAGGTGAAGTATTAAGTTTTTGCTTTGCATTGCAAATTATCACACTTTTACTAGTGAGTATTTTTTGTCACTTTTGGTCAGTCACATGAAAACAAGTCATATGTTGTGTAATCCATTAAATTGGTTCTAGTTCTGCTTCATGTGCAAATGACAGTCAACAAAATGTCCAATAAACAAGAAACTAAACACCCCTCACCTCTCCATCGCTCATCTCCGTCCTGCCTGGGGAAGCGTGCTGATCTGTGAATTATAACCAGAGTACAAACGCTCACAACAAAACTTGCTTGATAGTTTTAATTTGCAACAATACACTAAAGCTGCCTTAAGAAAACATAATATGATCTGTTTAGTCAATCTGGGCCTGAGTGTGCAGTGTTAGAGTGTCTTTAGGAATAAGGTTGGAAAAAAGTCAAATGATTAGTTACAGATAAAACTACAGGCCCACTTTCCAAGAAATCAAATGAGAACTGGCTAAACTGCTCATGTTATTTGAATTCAAAATGACAGAGAGAAAGTAAAACAGTAGCAGGTCACACAAGGCCAGTAGACCGTTAAATCATGAGTGTGTTTGCGATCATCACCTCGTGTCTTGATGTATCCTAATTTGTATAATAACAGGACAGACGCTCCCATCAGCAGCAGAGTCACACAAATGCAAGAGATCGTGATTCTTCCAGAAACACCTGGAGAACAGGTGCCAGTAATACCAGTAAAGTTAAAAAACCACAGTATGTGCAATAAACCACATTTTACATAAAACATACAGCAGCCATATCTTAGCATTTAGTGCATTTTTAGTTTTGATATAATGTAATATAATTTGCATCTGCAAATTTTCTAAAATCTATTTGTGGCTGCTCAATTCTTTCACTTCTGCTTTCATAACCTGAGGAAATCACAAATTACTTGGCTTCTCTCTCAGCTACTTAATCTCTAAATCTACCACTATCTGTGAGGTCAAGATGATTACTGATGCTAATCACCTTTAAATAGAAACAATGTAGGTCAGGTTAAGGTAAAACTTACTTTTGTTGACTTCTAGAATGACTTTAGTGATGACGTGAGCTCCACACCAGTATATCCCAGAATCCTCTTCTCTCAGATCAGTGATGTTCACAGTAAAGAGTCCAGTAGATGCTTCATCACTGAAAGAGAATCGATCATCTCTGATCGTCTCCAATGAAACCTAAATACAAATAAACATGGACATTTAACACAAATGTTTCTGAAGACTGTAGTAATCAGTGGCATACACAGTGCCTGGAGTCTATTGCTAGTTGGCACAGAATGGTGTCTGTAGTAAGTGCACAATTAAGAAATGGAAATCAAAACAGTATAATTATAATTCAAAAGGAAAACACAGAGAATCGCTGGAGAGAAACAATACTACGTATAACACTGACAAGACCGAACAATGAACAGAACGAACTCAGGGCTTAAATACACAGGGAACAATCAAGGAAAAACTGAACAGGTGAAGGAACTAATTTACAACCAAGGAAACTATAGAAAACCAGCAGGCAACACAGGGAAAATAAAACCAAAACAGATCACATGTGACATTACACCCCTCTCCCAGAAGGTGCGTTCTTGCGCCGTAACAGAGTCTAACTGAGGAGGGAGTGAGGGGGATCTGGAGGTGGCCGTGTAGCAGGTGAAGGACAGGAACCAAGAGAAGGTGATGGTGGGAGAAACTAGGGTGGCATGCATGACAGAGGGAAGAGCCAGGGAGGAGCCTGGAGCAGGAGCCAGATGGGGACCCAGAGTCCAGTCAGGAAGGAAGCCTATGGTGGAGTCGAGGGAGGGAGGCGCCAACGTGGAGTTTTGGCTGATGACACCAGGGGGACAACTGACTGCTATAGGGAAGGAGGAGCCCTACAGTGCCAGAGGGATGGAGGGACAAGATGAAGCCAGAGCAGCGAAAGACTGTGGCGGAGGCAGGTCGACGACTGACCAAGTCAGAGCCGAAGGGACGAGGGAGCCTGTCAGAGACCAAGGACTGATGAACCCTGGTGGAGCTGAGGGAGCATGGAGCCAAGGAGGAGCAGAAGGGTTGGAGGTGGAGTCCAGGGCTCCCTGTGACCTGGGAATGGCCAATGAATGAGACTCAGGGCTGGGTGGAACCAGCAGAGACAGGAGAAACGGGGGAAAATCATCCATTGCATCCACTAAATAAACAACAAAGGCCAGCGGCAGCTCACCCCCAGCAACGGGACTGTGGGCGGGGCTCTATTCCATATCCTCAAACTCTACAAGGATTCCCATGGCGTCCCATGATAGGCTCTGTCGCATCCTCTTGTGCAGGCTCATGCTGATGATACCAGATGGTGAAAGCCAATCTATTGTTCTCCAGCACTCACTCCACATAAACAGCGAAGCTCCCTCGAGGACCTCCCCTGGACAGCTTAGTCTTTGACAAGGTGTTAGGTCCAACAAAAATATATACAGTATATATGCAAAGGCAGCTGTCCGGGTAGCAAGTCAGGTATGTTAGATCTAAAAAAAT